AGCTTTTACCACCCCTCTTAATACTCTACGTAAATTACATTAAAAGAATTTTAAAAAAGCAAAAGTGATTTCAACATTGTTCTAGATGATGCAGCATAGATGGATGAGTGTTGAGGGATCAAACAGTAGAAGCAACAGGGTCTACAGAATATCAACAGAGCTACCTAGTGGAGGAGGGAGCCAGTCTACCCACAAACCAGGGACACGCCAGTGCTACAGAGTGTTGGAGGAAAGAGGTAGAGTTGGAAAGAAAGGAACTCACTCATTCTGCATATGGAAGAGGGTTTTTTTGTGTAAATACTAAAATTATATATATTTTGTAGCAGCTCTAAACATTTATATTTTCTTATATCCCTAATTCTTAAGTTTTCTGAGGGCAATGATCCCATTCTTGTTTCCTTCACAATTCAAGGTACATAATCTGATAGAAAAGCTTTTCAGAAAATAAAATCTGAAGTCAGAAAAGGTTGTTTTTTGGGTTTTTTTTGCAGTTTTTGGCTGGGGCCGGCTTTGAACCTGCCACCTCCAGTATGTTGGGCCAGTGCCCTACTCCTTCAAGCCATAGGCGCAGCCCAGAAAAGGTTGTATCTTAACCAAACATATAGTTCCTTTGGGGAGGAACGCCCATGAAAATGGACACTATAAAGTAAATGTCATGTTTATTCTTATATGTGTACCATTCACATTGTACTTTTAATAATATTAATTCTAATGTCCCAATTAAATAATTGGCAAACCTGATATTATAATAACATACTTTCATATTGAGGCACTAATTATCCAAAGAATGTCAGAACTTACATTTCTAAACTTAGCTGTCCATGAATCCATATGATCAAGAAGTTGTCTATTCATAGTCACTCTTGCCCATACCTATTAAAAATACATGTTTAAAATGAACAAGTGAGAAAATAATCCTGCCAAAAAAAACTTTCCTATCCCACCCTAAAAACTTCGATGAACTTTGAAAAAAAATTTCTAATATAAATATTCATGTAGTTAATATTCAATAATTTTATTACCCATTTATAGCTGCTGTTCATGCACAGGTATATCTTTAAAAGTTTCTTATACTAAAATGTTAAAAAAAGTTTTCTTGCTTTTAAGAACAACATTTAAAATCCTATGTTTGGTACTAAAGTAATAAAGTTATAGACTGACAAATGTTCTAATCCAAATGTATTTTATAAACAAGAGTCTTGTATATGTTAAGTCCAGTTAGATACCTGAAAGCCTTCTGATAATGAATAAAGAAAGATATCTCAGGTGGGGCACTAACGTCAACTATGTATCACAGAGTAAAATATACAGGATAATTCAAAGTACACAGATAGAAGTTTTTCCAGTGTTTAATATGACATTTCTATACAGTAAGAGTGATGATTACAGAAAAAAGTGCCCAAAGTTGAAGATTTTCTAGCTAGCTATATATAAGCCACAAATATTAAGTTGTATTTATTTTCCATTTACCTCTTCTGCAGCTTGTTTAGAACTGAGATCGGCTTCATCTTTGTTAGCACATGGGGCCTGAGATCTACAGGCAAGCTGATACTGAAACTTCTTCAGAGTTTGCGCATAATCCCCCACAGAACGACTGTAGTTCCAGAAAGTAGGACTGCTTGAGGGAGATGTGGAATCTGGACTCCCTACAATTATTAATTTAAACAGTATAAGTCTGTTGTAGTAATTTTTATATCGACAGTTAACACATGAATAGTGGGTATCTAGGTTCAAGCCTATAATCCTAGCACTCTGGGAGGCTGAGGTAGGTGGGATCTCATGAGCTCAGGAGGGCTTTGAGACCAACCCAAGCCAAGCATAGTGGAGGGCACCTATAGTCCCAGCTATTTGGGAGGCTTCGGCAAGAGGATTGCTTGAGGCCAAGAGTCTATGGTTGCTGTGAGCTATGATGCCATAGCACTCTACACAGGGTGATAGGGTAGAGTCAGGGTAGACTCTGTCTCAAAAAAACAAACAAAAAAACACCCATGGACTGCTTGTATTAAAAATTAAAGGAGAAATTTTCTGAACAATACCAATTTAAGAATAAGAAAAATTACAAATATTATCTTTGCTTAATATTAAACTTACTTCATTCTCTTAGACTTTAAAAACCATTCAGTAAGAAATTAAAGACAAATTTCTCCAGTAAATAAACAAGCTAAGTGGCTCAGCGCCTATAGCTCAACCAGCTAAGGCGCCAGCCACGTACACCTAAGGTGGCAGGTTCGAATTCCCAGCCCGGACCTGTCAAACAACAATGACGGCTGCAACCAAAAAAAAAAATAGCTAAGACCTTGGCTTGGCGCCTGTGGCTCAAGCGGCT